GTTTATGGATGAGGAATCAGGAGGGAACAACAGCGCAGCGTGGCACCAGCACTCTACCGAGAGCGTCAATACGCGTATTGCAAAATGATCGGGATCTTGGTGAGGTCATGTCCAAGCGTGAGTGCAGCAGCACGGCATTGTGAATGACATCGCGTGTCCCGGTCCGGAGGACATTTGCAGTGTAAACTCATAACACATGTAATTTGTAGCATGATGTCTATCATAATTGTGCATAAAGTTCATAGCGTATCCACAAGCAGGGCGGTCGATACTTCCGAGTGATGAAAAGGAGCAAAAACGACTAGTCCAACGTGCATGCATACCGTCACCTAGCTGCCGACGACCATTACGACTGAGCGCCGTGCGATCAAGTATTGCGCCTACACTCGGATAAGTCACAATCACCTCACAGGATCAGATGAACGTGTTCCTCACCTTTTCCTTGTAGGCTCTGAATCATTTTCGGAGCTCTTTCTCTTGATTCCAATAACCGCGGCAGGAAATGACTTCTTATCTTCGTTCGGCATGTTCTTGAGAAACCTTGGAAACGTTCTCATCATTTGCTCTAGCACCCACGTCAGGTCGTCAACTGCATGACACCAATCTGTCAGGGCCACTGATGACCTCGGTGCCAGCGTCGCCCAATGGCCCAGTGTGAACAGTAGCACCATGACCCCCGTTTGTCCATACTTGCGCATCTGCAGCCAGATGATCTCCTCGTGACTTTCAGGGCGCTCGAGTGGCCACGAGGTTGTATCGCGCCACGGAGGCTGTAACGAAATGTACCATTTGCGCCATGATCGCGAAAAGGATACGGGATCCTTCTCCTTGGCTATTGGATGCTTTGGGTCGCGCCGTCTGCAATCCACCCACTCCTTGACTCCTGCTGGTCGAAAGGTCGTTGAAAGTCGATAGATCCTAGTCTGAATAGTGCCTATATGAGATAAAGTGTAGTCATAGTAGTTATCCCAACTCACGTTTCCCTGCCGAAATCCGTTCTGCTTCTCAAACGCCGCCCACGCATTGATGAGCCTATTCCAAAACGACTGAGCGTCCCTGCCTGCGCGCGCAACATCAAACCTCCGCAACATCTCATGATCGCGCTGGAACGTTTTGAACGAGGTTTCGTCCGCAGGCAAGACGATGCTGTCAGGGACAGAAGACGCGGCGACAACCGGCGGCGGAGGCCGACCTGGAGGCTGTGGCGCTGACGGCGCAGGCGATAAGCTCCTGCCTTCCTCAACGCTTATCGGGGGGCATGGGGACAACGAGGATGGTGGCTGAGCAGTAGACGGGCGTGGGGTGTCTTGAACTTGCAGTTCGGTGGCAGCAGAGGCGTTCACAGCGTCGCCGATAAACGCATTGGCGCGGCAACTTGCCGCGACCCTATCGTGATGATGAGGTTCGCCCCGCTCCTGTCCCTCCGCGTCAGCTCGCTCGCTATCCTTTCGAGCGGCGAAGCTCGATATCTTGGCATTCCGTGCTAGAAGCTCAGCGTCAAGGGAGCTGTGAACGGCGTCCTTCCTCGGCGCAACGGCGCAGCCGATGCTGTCGATCATTGCTTGCCCACCCGATTCGACAACCCCATCACGCTCACTTCCGTCCCCAAGGGCCTGCCCGTCGTCCATCTGAGCGGCGGTGACCGCGAGGTTGTCTTCTTGAGCGGGAAGCTCGGCACCGAGGGAGTCGCGGACGATATCGCTCATCGTCGCATCGTCGCAGCCGCTGCTACCGCTCATCACGGGCCCGTCCGGATCGACAACTCCAGGCTGCTTTCGACTCTCCTTATGGGCTCGCTCGTCGTCCGTCTGAGCGTCGGTGGCCGCGAGGCTGATGTCTTGTCCGGGAAGCTTAGCACCAGTGGATTCGCTCATCGCCTGCCCGGGCAAATCGACGGCCTCGCCCCGCTTAGGACCCTCCTCGTTCGCCCGCTTGTCATCCACCTGAGCAGCGGTGGCTGCGAAGTTGTCTTCCTGCGCGGGAAGCTCAGTACCGAGGGAGTCGCGGACGACATCGCTCATCGTCGCATCGTCGCAGCCGCTGCTGCCGCTCATCACGGGCCCGTCCGGATCGACAACTCCAGGCTGCTTTCGACTCTCCTTATGGGCTCGCTCGTCGTCCGTCTGAGCGTCGGTGGCCGCGAGGCTGATGTCTTGTCCGGGAAGCTTAGCACCAGTGGATTCGCTCATCGCCTGCCTGGGCAAATCGACGGACTCGCCCTGCTTAGGGCCCCCCTCGCTCGCCCGCTTGTCATCCACCTGAGCGGCGGTGGCTGCGGAGTTGTCTTCTTGCGCGGGAAGCTCAGTACCGAGGGAGTCATGGACGACATCGCTCATCGTCGCATTGTCACAACCACTGCTGCCGCTCATCGCAAGCCCGTCCAGATTGACAACCCCAGCCTGTTTACGACTCTCCTCAAGGGGCCGCTCGTCTTCCACCTGAGAGGCGGTGGCTGCGGGGTTGACTTCTTGCGCGAGAAGCTCTGCACCGGGGAAGTCATGGATGGCGTCGTTCATTGTTGCGTCGTCGCGGCCACTGCTGTCGCTCATCGCAGGCCCCTCCGGGTCGACGATCCCAGCCTGCTTACGACCCTCCTCGCGGACTCGCTCGTCGTCCGTCTGAGTGGTGGTGGCCGCGGGGTTGAGGTCTTGCGCGGGAAGCTCAGCACCGATGGAATCGTGAACAGTGTTGCTCATCGTCGTATCAGCGTAGCCGCTCGTCGTGAGTCCTTCCAGAGTAGGAGGCTTTCCCTGCTCCTGCTCCTTCATACCGACTAGCTCACCCTGAAAAGAAGCGGGTGGTGCTACGATAGGTTGCACATCCGGGTTACAGACGTCGGCTTGCGCAGCAAGCTCTGCGAGATCGGTAGACGCGGGCCTTTTACCGAAGGGTGAATACCAAGACGACTAGAGCAAGACACCAATGCTTACTGTGCAACAGCAACTAGCTGCGACGAAGGCGCGAGTTCGCTTGAAGTCATCACAGCGGCGGAGACATTGGGCTGCGTTACCTCCTGAGCATCGCCATACTGCCCCGCGACCACGAAGTCCCGGGTTTGAGCCGCAGAAGGGAGAACTGGTGGTAGCGAATCGTCGGCGAGGGCAAACTTCTCCTCAGGGTAAGTAGTCGATACTCCTGCACCTGGCGGCAATCCCGAATCCGAATCCTCATCTTCCCCCTGACGATCGTCGACGACGCCGAATGTTAGGCCCAATGAATGTTGTGGCGCATCGGGAAACATCGCCGACTGTTTTTGTACACCAGGAGCTAATTGCTGTTAGTATCGGCCAATGAGATTAACTCGACCTGCTCACGAAAAACGTCCGACTCCAGAAACTCCCTGAAGCGCTCCCTGATATCACTGTCGGTATAGTATTTGGAAGAAAGAAACGTCTGACCACCAGGATGCTGAGTCGAATATCTGATCCCCGACACTATCATCAACAGAGCGTCGACCTGTCAGACGAAGAGCAACTTACGCATCTTGCCATACGCTCCCGTTGCTCATGATATCGCAGCCGCCTATCAGGAGCGTGCAAGACATCCCGGTTTGCTTGTACAGCGTATTGACTATGGCTTGACAAGACGCTTTCAGAACTTGTTGTTTACTATATCACATCGTGTCAAGGACAAGTAAGCTAGGTATATATAACACGTACTCGGCCATCTCCACCAACTCCTGGATGTGGACGCGGGCCTCGAAAGGGACGTCATCGTCGGTGGTACCTTCTGTCTTGACATCGCTCTGCGCGTGCAACAGAGACTTCTTGACCCGAGGCAGTTGGCTGGCAAGCTCCATAGCGGCGAATCGATGGTTGAATTGAGCGCGCGCAGTCTCGAGATCGGTGCCTTCGGGAAGTAGGGGGCAGAACATCGTCCAATTCTCGTCGGCACGCTCCTTCAGGCCCTTCTCCCAGTTCTCCAGGTAATAGTCATCGTACTGAACATGCTTCTGCTTCTTCGCGGCAAGCATATCCGCAACCTTCTTCATGGCTTCCTCAGACGTAGGCTTCTCCTTCTTCACGCGCCTTCTCGGCCTGGGCGTCGGCCTGGGCTCTTCAACTTCGTCGCCATTCTCATTCACGGACATCTTTTGCGGGTTCCGATGGGGACGTCCTTGGTTACCAAACCAATTGCGAATCCTCTGTGACGAGTCAGTTCGGAAAACTCTTTCGATGATTCATGTTTGGCATGCACCTGAACAAATGGCGTGTCGCCCGGGACGGTAACGTCCGCGCCAGGGTACTTCTTCAACAACTCCTTAGCAAACTCTTTGCAGAACTCCTCCGACTTCTTCTTCTCCTTCATCGCGCGGTATCTAGGAATAGCGTCCACGCATTCGTTCCACAGACGCGGTGGGAGCTTGGCAGGGGCCATTTGTGAACAGAGAGTATCGCGACGAGGTAGTGGACGCGTAGGTGGTCAGAAGCAAGAGTCGGGTTTCAACACTGCCATATTCGGCCAGTCAAGTTTATGTTGACCGCATTTGCCGAGATGAAATCAATGATTAAATAATATATCCGCGACAACTTCGCCGCCTCTGTACCCACGAGTCAGCGACTTGTTCAGGGTTTGTGTCGCCAAGTCAAACGCTCTCAGTGATGAGGGTCACTACATGAGTTTGTTCGAGCGCCCACCGCAGCCACGAACAAGCTCAGAGCGCCCTGAGCTTCCGGCCATTCGGCCGATTGATGGCCCGACTTCTCAGATCTAAGATCCATCTCTAGAAGGGCCGGCGATCTGGTGGGCTCACGGATACCTTCCCTAACGGTGTATAATCAATCGGTGTCTATGGCTGTCCAGTACACTTCGCGGCAGACCTGCTTGGGGTTGGTGGTTCATGTGCATGAGCAAACAGACATGATATACATCGCTCCCAAGTTGTCCGGTCGTGATATCAAAGCGGATTCAAGCGTACATCATCGAAGACGTTTCGACGCGGCTACTATGTGCAATGCTAGATATATCGACCACTTTGGGCATGCAGAGCGGATAAAATAACTGAGGAGGTGGAAAGGCATTGTATAGGATGGCGCAGTCGCAGGCAAGCTCCCATGGTCGACTGGCGCCACGACTTTCGGAGCGCGATCTACAGCTTCGCCTTGATGTAGCGACACCGCTTCGTATGATCCTGGACTTGACGGAACTCTTGCAGGTTCTCTACAGGAAGGTTGCTCATCCATACACGCTCACATTCCTCGCCATCAACAACGCCTCCATTCGGTGCAGAGGCGAGGTCGTACCGGGAGTATGTATGAAGCTTGTGAGCATAAGTGTGGAACTTCGGGAGGATCTTCTCGTAAACGGCCGGGCAGCAGACATCGTATGATAAGACGCAGAAGCTTCGTAGTTGTTGAACAGCGGCAAGAATGCTGTAGTCCATGGCACAAAAACGCTCGTCGCTATGAAATATCGTCAGTACAGGCCTGAGAGGCGCCCGAAGACTCGGAAAGGGCTTACGGGAGAAGTTTGGGCATTCCATCCAGGCGACAGAGGACGTGCCTCGCATTGCCTTGAGACAGGTCTTGGACTTCACTCGTATTGTCCCGAGCGTCGCCTGGGCGAGATGAGTCATTGTTGCCATTCACAGATAGAGAGCGCTGACTGATACATTGGAGGTTATGTGCCTCTATTCCAGGCAAACGAAGCATCGTGTGGGGGTACGGGGGAGTTGAGAGTAGTCGGGAGTGAGAAGGTGGACAGACGACGGGTCCAGCGGAGGACTTCAGATGAACAAGAGCGTTTAGGATGAGAGTCCTGTGCATGAAGCGGCATATAGATGTATGCACCCTTCCAATCGGAGCCGTACTGCATCACTACGTGGCCATACAGTGGAGGTGTTAGCCGACACAAGGCCGCCTCGGAAATGCAGAGCCGGTCGCCAACGCGGTGGGGCTCCGCCGCTCTGTCGAGCTTCCTTCACGGGATGCGGGGGCAACGGTGTCTCTTCCACTCATCAGAATGACGCTTGCGACAGAGCAGGCTTTCGGACCTGCGCGTGTTCCGGGGCAAAGGTTGAAGCACAGGATGAACGACGGCACTTGCCGGCTTTCTCACACTCCAGCATCCGAGCTTCTCGTTCGTCTACCTTCGCGCCGTCGCCCTCATCCTGTTCATGCCACGCCCGTTGTTTCCCCTCCTATCTCCAATTCGTCTGCCCCTTTCTCCACGCTATCTGCTTCTCATTTCGCCGTTTCTTTTCTGTCGTCTGTCGCACGTTCGAGAGCTTGCGATGTCAAGCAAGTCTCCCATATATCTTGACTTCAGACGTACGTGTGCCTCCCCCGAGTCCTTCTCCTTGCTGACGACTTTTTTCCCTACTGCTTCATCCGCCCCCTTTGGACACCGCGTTCATAATACCATCTCCGATGTTTCTCATTCAACGTCACTATTCCCTCGCCCGCATTGTCTACATGTCTGTTCGGTCGTCATATCCTATCTATGCGTGGACGATCACATACGCTCAATCATAATTCCTACCCGTCCACCGGCGTTCACGCCCTCTCGAAATTGACATGGTCCACGCTATGTTGCGGCTTGGATACTTGCGCTCGCGTGCTCTATGGTCCTATGCCTGATACGTCAACGTGCATGGTTATCGCTGTATATTAGGGCTTATCGCGCTCTACGCTACGATCCTGTGCACCTGCCCCCCCTGTGCTTTCCGCCCTTGCTCGCTCTCACCCCTCCTGTACCCTATATCGTCATATACAGCAGACTTGACAATTTATTCCACCAGCAAGGAGTGATCTCTAAGTCGCTTGATATCGACGTTGCCATACTCACATCGTGGTTCCACGTTCCTCGGCATTGTGTGCGACCATCGCGATTCTGTTTTCGTGCGCTAATACGGCGACCACCCGTTCACCTGCATCCTCAACTGTATGAACCCAGATCTTTTCCTGTCCTTCTTGGAGGCTATGCGGCTTCCAGACTTGTACAGCTGTAAGACAGCGCAAAATATCGTTTTGTTCACTTGACCGTTCTCCGACGAAGACAGGTGTTTCCGAAAGCACTGAGCTATATCATTCTTTTCCTTTCTTGCATCCCAGATCTCGCGTTCGGCTTCTCCCAGCGTCTCTCGCACTGAACGCGCTTCGTTAGTATTTGTGGTGCTTCGCCCGCCCTTGGCGTCAGCTGAGCACATGACGAACATCATTGAAGGCCTGTCTCCATTCTCAGTGGTCGGTAGTACGAGATCATATTGTGTCGCCTTCGTCATCTGGTGTGGATGACTGATGAATGGAGAGACATGCCTCTCCAACGTAATACGCATCAAACATCATCTCAGCGAAACGAATAGAGGCGTTGAAAGCAACATCATATTACTCGGGTATGCCGAAATCCTTGTAAAAATCCTCGGCAAGAAAGCTATGTATAGACAATTTAATAGTCATGATCACTCTAGCAGTACGACCAAATCATACCGATTTCCCTCTAGGATAATGTAGTCTTCCACGAGCGCCGCCATGAATGACCGGAGGTTTTGCAGGATCAAAAAGTGAAGCTGGAGAAAGCCAGCAGACGTATGATAGAAAGAGTGAACCACAGGATGGTTGCGAGGCTTTCCGCGCGCTTGAAGCTCCAAGCCGACAGCAAGGTCATCGTGGGCGCGTGCGTACAGGAAAGCGGCCAAAGGTTGAAGGCGTTTATTCGCGGGCTCGTTCATGAGGCGTTGGTACGCGTCCGTGTCATCCTCAGGAAGGCCATCGATTACACGCTGAAGATAGAAGAGAACCAGGCGCATTGCTTTCGCGGAACTAGAGCGTACAACATTGCTGGCGCGTGTATCTTTCTGAGCAGGGAAAGCCCCGTACTTAGGAGCTTGAATGTGCACCCTACAAAAGAGGTGTGGTCGGTCAGTCTGACAGAGATTGGATGAGCCCGTCCCTTACATGTTCTTCGGCCAGCCTCCGCACCCCAGCAAGGGCGGCAGCTCAGACCAGACGTGGAACACTTTGCCACCCTTGACCTGTACAGCACATCAGGTCTCATGTATCATGTTGTCTTATAGATGCACTGACATGGAAACTCGTCATTATCCTTTGCAGATCCGCGCCGACCACTAGGTGAATGTCAGTAGTGCGTACACTGTGCTTGAGATGACGAACCGCAGCCTTTGTGACGATGATGGGGGAGGATGCGCGAGCCGACAAGGCCACAGCGCATGACCGCCGAGTTAAGTGCACCACCGCGCACGGTTGACCATTCCGACGGGTTTTCCGATTACCAGGCATTCTTCACGCGCATCATAGAGATTGAGGTTCTTCCAGATCCATCAAAAGGGCGGCAGTACGGCATGGCGTACAGAACAGTCAGGTTCCAGTGACATAGATCCCACCGAGCTGCACGTATAAAACAACTGTAGGGGGACTGATGGAAGACGCTGTTCCAATGCCAGCGGACAGTGGAAGGAAGGTGAAGCACACATTCCATATAGAGTTAGAGTTGTGACCAGGATGAGTGTTTGGCGTTTGTGTCTGATGCACTTCGTTTACCGTGGCCACCAAGTTCTAGCCTGTGTCCGCCTTCACAAACCCTAGGACTCTATGATTCGCTGCGCAATCATCGGTGTTAGATCACGGAGATAACAGCTGGAGGACGCCGCGCCTTCCATCCTCTACGGGATGCATCCTTTCTCAGGCAGTCCGGTGGGCCGAAGGGCACGCACCGTCATCATTGCCCTTTGGTCCAACAGAGTTGCTTGTAAACGCGAGTACATGCAAGGTTGCTGCGCGTACGGTGTCGACTGCTGTAAGTACAGTGCGCTTGAGGGTCGGGAGAAGCAGGACTACGCCGACAAGGTTGGGTCCGCGCCAGAAGAGCTTGGCGGTAGCCAAAAGTGAGATGAGCGCTAGGACTGATGATGGCGACGGCAGCAATTGTTGTTGACGATGTTGACGATCAAAGATTGACATGTTCTCGGAGAGCACGTACTACTAGCAGAGACTTGACGCAGCTTCGCATGGTACTCGGCATGCACTACTCTGGCTATAGGAGGAGAAGCTTATTGTGCTGCGCAGAACTTCTGGGGATAGCAAAGTCATGTACCGATGATGTTTCCGGTACAGCCGTTTCGAGTGAGTCCGGCGGAGTGAAGATGATGGAGGTCCGCCAACGTTTCAACGTCAACGCGTGTAACCGCGCGCGCGGATCAGCAGCCAGAACGTGACACGGGAGGTAAACCGACGCTCAACATCTTGTCGTCCAACCACTACCCCTCTGCTGTCCGGAACCGCCATATCGCCATCCTCCACATATTGTGCTTACAACATACCACTATGACAACGCCTATACCCAGCTTACAAAGGGAAGCTCTCCTCGACCGCTATGCGGATACATGGCCAGAGGCGTTGTCGTCGCGGCGGAAGTTCAAGCTATTGCTCAATAATGCGGCGGCGTGGGTGGCTGCAAAGTACGGAATCGATGATCCATGGAGATTGCTCTATGCGGATATGCCTACGCCAGATGCAAAGCTCGTCGCGCGTCTAGATGATCTCCTATGGGATGGTCCCTCGGATGGGCGCGAGCGGGATTTGCATGACTCTTTGATGGCCATTCGAGAGGCAAGTCCTCTCGCACATATCGGTTCAGATTTTTTCATCTTTTGACCGAGATGCTGTAGATCGTCTGGGTAACGCTACGAGATGCCAATATACGCGCATGAAATCACAGGCCTGAAGGACGTGATCACGGCTTGCTCTTGGAGTTGGAACCCCGTTGTAACCCGCCGAACGTGGTATCATCGTTGATATTTACTCAATGAGGATCTCATATGCTCTCTTATTGGATGCCATTATTGAGAACACTCGTCACTCGCTGCAGTAGCATTGTGCCGTGCAATTTTGCGTCACACCGTTGTCGCTCTTGAGCTCTCATCAGCCCGTTGTCTTTCAATTTATCCCAGTCGCTCATGCCTTACTCTTGCCTTCGGACCGCATATGCTGCTCTCTATCTTCTGCGTCGTAGTCCGCGGTCGTTTGCTTCTATGACTCAGAAGAGTCGACTTTCTCCGCGCCTCGCTCTATCTTTGGAACTTTTGGGCGCATCTGCGTTTTCATGGTGATGCTCCTAAACACCACAATGGGTAATCGGAACAAGAGGGCGTGTTGACCACACTGAACATTCGCAAACTTGAAGTTCGTCGGCTGACGGGTGTCAATAATGCACCGCGCGCATTCTAGTCAGAACAGCGGAGACATATTACATTGTATGACTCGCACCTTGATGAACGTGTCTCTCAGGCTTCTAGCACGTGTACTGCATGCAGTATGATCCGTATATGATTAAACGCCCAGCGTACACCAAGTCTGATCAAGCCGCATGAAAACGGCAATATCCGGAATGGTCAGATTCACGGCGAGAGGCACTAACGCGCGAGCCCGCAACCAAACACCGCCTTGTCCCGACTCTGCATGTATCGCCCAACGGTCAGCAGCTCGCAACTGCAAGACCTCAGAGAGCGTCACGACTCATTATGGGGGAGGTCATCGCGGCTTACCATCGCTATATGGGCCCGTAGCACTCAGGAAGCCCTGAGCGACGAGGGTGACGACGACGGGCACATGCCGGACTTGGAGACGGTGACCGGTTCCGAAACATCATCCACCAGCGATCCGTGGCTTGCTCCCACCCTTCACTCTCCGAACCCAATTGCAGGTTGCGGTACATGCGCATGTTGTGAGCACGGACATCATTTATATAGGCGTGCAGGATTTGATGTTCGGTAGGCTTAAGCAACCAGACCGCTCGAGTATTCGCGTTGAACTCAGAATCTCGCATGCGTCGTCCTGTGACTTCTAAGTCGGAGTACGTCCTTTCAACTCAGCACGCGAGGTCAATGTTGACAGGGAAAATCAGACTCGGTCTCGTCCTTCGCCGATGGCTCAGCCAACTTGGCACTAGGCTCAACGCATTCATATCCTCACAATTCGCCACGATCCTTCGCTTCATGTATCCATCTCCACCGTCTTCGTTGCAGCTCATGCACGCCATGACAGACGCTCAGTTTCGGCTCGGGAGGACGCATACAGATCAAACTGCCGCTGATGAACAGGGCAGAGAAGGAGTTGGGGCCGAGCGGGTGCTCCGTAGCGAGACTGAAGCAACGACGTGCTTGGCATGTTTTGAGAACGGAGTCTTCTGTACTCATAGCAAGTGGATGTAGAGAGCGTCCTATAGGATGTCTTGACGCGCAAAATCGCAGAAGTGAACGTAGAAAACGAATTGATGAGGTTGGTGCACGCACAGCGCGTCAAGCGCTGAGCCTCGCTGAGCGCTTCGACGGAATCGAAGCCCCGTCGCTTGATCCGTTGACGGTTCTCAACCCTCTGCAGCGCACAGCCCACGAGCTTTAAGAGTCTTCCTTTTCAGTGCTGAATATAATAATGACACTCATCCTCTCCACCCTTCCACGCCAGAGGCCGTCACTAGAGCCGACGTACCCTTCTTCCTCACTGGCAACCATGATGCGCTTCCCGAGTTACATCTAGACACATAGCTGAGGGCGATCCATGCACACCCGCGCGTATCAGTTCGCGCCGGCTCGCGCGAGTCGTTGATTATCTTACGGCGGTTTCTTGAGACGAGCTTCTCGGGGCCGACAGCTACAACTCAAGCTGAACAACCAAGGCTCCACCCTTTCATGGGACCCCGGGAATGACGGGACGCTGATAGACGGCGAATGCAAGGAGTGTGCCGGGCTCTGGATGTGACAATGTTGATAGCGGTGTGGCGTGGTCCTCGGAGCGCAAGTAGCGCGTTCGGGTTGGACGCGGGGGCCGAGTGAGCAAGTAGCCGTCGGGTACGAGCTGTACGATAATGTAAGCGTTGGTGCGGTACGACTAGAGCGCACCGTGTGAGCCGCCTGAAGAGCCGGGTTGCGAAAACTGTCCTGTGTGAGTGTAGGAGGCCGGGGAGGCCGGGCGAGAAGTTCCGCGTCGAGGACGAGGGTCGCGCGGCGGTGCGAATCAGAAGCTTTGAGCAAGTTGCTCGAGGTCGAGTACCTCTGCGAGCTCGTTGGAGCGCTTGAGGGTCGGACTCGGACTCGGACGGAAGGAAGGAAAAAAAAGGTAGCCAGGTTCTCCTTTTCAAGAGTACAACGTTTAAGAGACCGAGAAAGCTCGCCTGCCCTCCAAGCAGCGCTAAGCGGTACCGTACGAGAGGTGCGTGCAGAAAGGTAAATAGAGAGATCCGAGAAAGAGACTGTTAGGAAATAAGGGGTGAGCGGACAACCTAGCGACGCCAAAGACCTCCTCTCGCTGGAGACTGTCTCGTTCCAGCGGCTCAACCCGTTCCTCGTGCTCTGGCCTGCACAGAGCGTACGTAAGGTCCCCAGGCCCACGTGATTTTACAGGAGAGGAGCGCAACTTGGAGGACAGCGAGAGGGAAGGTGTTCGGGCGGCGCGCGATCGTCGGGAAGTGGGATCGA